ACAGTGTTAGGAGCTATGTTTCTAACTCCTGATATTCCCAAAGAAGTTTTCAATGGGGTCTTGATTTAAATTGTTAGTCAACAAACAATCTAACCTATAGTTTTGATACAAAACCTTCCAAATTGCCTCCATGTTTTCAATTGTTTTTATAAAATTTTTGGATGAAGGAATTACACTTTCTGTTGCAATGAATTGACCAGCAATATTTTGTTTTTTTTTATGAGTTTTACACTATGCAAAATTTTTTTTGCTCTAGTCCATAACTCGTGATGGGTGAGATTCGCTTTACCGGACCTTTATAAATTTTTCCATTGGGAATGTTTAGCGTGTTGATATTTAGACTGTCAAATAAATCATCAATTAATAATGTTATGTTCACCAGTTGACGACACTCTTCTTGCAAATCTCCTCGCGCCGTAAGGTGCTCAGCAACTACAGCAATACTGTGACTGAATACTTGTGTTGCTAATTTCACTCTCATTTTATTATTTTTTTCAGGATCAATGTGTTCCTCCGTTAGTTTATTTAATAATCTTAATTCTCCATAGCATTTATCTGCCGCATAAACTTTTTGGTAATATAATCAGCAACTGTAAAATAAAAAAGAAACCTTTTGTGTACTGTTTATAATAAAGGTCCATGATAATAGTTTTTAAAATTATTTACTCTAACTGTTTAAATTAAATACCTTGTGGAGGTGCGTTCTTTTAGATCTGCTACCCGAACTATAGTTATGTTCCCTGATGATATCTTCTACATAAGGGATGTACTGAGAGTCAACTGAAAATTAAAGATATATCTATATTATTAATACCAAAAAATAATCTATGTCTTCAACTAGTATTTGAGAACGAAATCAATTATTTATATCAGAAATGATTGTAGTATCTACTTCTATTTAGTAATTTTTCCTCGCTCTTACATTTTCCACAGAAAACTACTGACTATATATATGTTTAGTAGTATAACTTGTAGTCTTTAGTTGTATAACTATATAATCTTCATAAATTAGATTATAATCTTTGTATCAATTTTTAGAGATTATAATAAAATTGTAATTAAACATTGCTAAATATATAAAATAATGGTTATATTAATTACTTGGTATACAAATTAAACTTAATGAGAAAAAAAACTTTATTTGAGTGATATATAGAATGATGGTTATATTAACAAAAATTAAAACAGGTGAACTTTATATAAGTGCTAAATGAATTGTTTTTAGGCGTCTTGAATATTATATATGTTGATATAAAAAAAAATGAATATAACTTAATACAAGTCTTATTTTAAACAAAATTCGACCTCCGTAGGCGAGTGGTTCGCACGCCGGTTTCAAGGTGTCGCCATCTCTGAGGTCCCGGGTTCGTTTCCCGGTCGGGTCAATGTAGAAAATGAACTTTTCTTTATTGACTCGGGTCTGGGTGTTGTGGTACCTTCGTTGTCTCAGATACTCCATAATACGGGGGCTTTAGCTACTCATCTTAGAATCTGAGCAATGTATGTGATGTTGTTAAATATTTATTTATTTATATATTCATTCACCTCCACCTAATATAAGATCACACTGAGCTAATTAAATGTCTTGTTAATGTCAGTCAGTAAATGTCAATAGTCATTATTTCAAATGTACATTTTATAATAATAAAATTATTGATATGAAATTATATAAAAAGTTATTATAATAATTAAGCATACCCAGTATACTAGTGTGTATTAATAATTATTTATTTACCTGAAGAGGACATTTGGGAAGATTGCAATTTATCATGAGATTGGTTGCCATACTTTGAAGAATACAAACTTTCCTCTGTCATTGTTGGAAACAAACCTGTAATAAAAATGAACAATTATGTAATTTCTTCCATAAAAAATAGATTATTAAAATCTTTATTTTAAATTTAATTCAAATTTATAGTTCCAAGTTAAATTTACCTGAACTTCTTGACAATTGACTATTTTCTTCATTAGGAGCAACTGGGAGCTCCTCAAGAATTCCCATTGAACCTGGAAATTATAAAAATACTCTTTTGAGTTTTACTAAAACAATAACTATACATGTCACTGGTTGGTTGGATATGTAATGGTTATTGGTGGTAATTTTTATATACAGTAGAAATTAGAAAACATCATGTGATTGATCAATATATTAAATTGAATCATTACAAATCTAGCTGTGCTCGTGACTTTTAGGAAAGTGTATGTATAGAATTTAGTAATATTATAATTTGTCCTGTTACTATTACTAAGCCAACATAGATTTGGAGTTTTTTTTTTTGTTTTGTTTATTTGGGTCAACAAACAGTTTTACAATAGCATTCCAATTTATGATATGATGTACACAGTTTTATAATTGCAAAAGCAACGTTAACTACAAGTTACTATGAGTAGTTGAAAGTTGCATATGTTATCAGCTTAAACACTTACTAAGAAAAATGAACACTACACAAACAAAACTGTTACAAATATGATAATATATATTACTTTATGATGATATGGCATTGCAATTTAGTTCACTTATTCTTTCTTAACTAACTCTTTGAATTTTGTTTTGTTTAAATTGAATATGTCGATTTCATGTAAACCATTGTTATAAAATTTTGCTACTCAATGCACTGGAGATCTCTTGCCTGTATTTGTACAAAATCTAAATATAGCAAACAGTTAGTGTTTACGCAGGGAGCTCGTTTGCGCCCGCTTAGGTACTAAATAATTAATTTTATTTATTAATTCAGTACAGTCATACTCACTCTGACATATATTAAATAAGCCAACCGCTTTCAGGTATTGCCGTCTAGATTTTAAATCTGTCAATCGGGGCCATACTAATTAATGTTCACATGACACACAAGCACATCTGCACCTATATGGAGTTTGTCAAAACATAGCCCATCCTTTTTTTATTCCCATTGTTTCATAATGTTTGTTTCATTACACGTTTTTATGTTATTCCCAAGATTTGTGCCTAAGCGATTTCTAAACTTTTACTGTATTTCAAAATAAACATACATACCCTGTTAATGCACTGATGGGACAGCCAAAGCATTCAAACGTCTAAAACGACTTGTATGTCTGTGTATAAAATGAATATCGCAAACTTTTTCCTTCTGTTTCCAGTTTTCCACCAACCAATGTAACCCAAGCTTTGAAACATTCAGGAAACTTCAGGGTTTGGGAATGAGTGCATAGTGACATCTGAAACAGGAAGTCATGGCAATATTATAGACATTAAAGATATAGTCATTATATAGTTATTATCTCATTCTTTCCACTTTATACGGTGTGTTATAGAAACTTATTGGTTATTTTTGTTTCGTTAGTGTGTTGATAAGAAAATAAGAAGGAAAATAAATAATTGATAACCTCATTGTTAAAGTCTAGATTTTAAATCTGTCAATCGGGGCCATACTAATTAATGTTCACATGACACACAAGCACATCTGCACCTATATGGAGTTTGTCAAAACATAGCCCATCCTTTTTTTATTCCCATTGTTTCATAATGTTTGTTTCATTACACATTTTTATGTTATTCCTAAGATTTGTGCCTAAAGCGATTTCTAAACTTTTACTGTATTTCAAAATAAACATACATACCCTGTTAATTCTCTGATGGGACAGCCAAAGCATTCAAACGTCTAAAACGACTTGTATGTCTGTGTATAAAATGAATATCGCAAACTTTTTCCTTCTGTTTCCAGTTTTCCACCAACCAATGTAACCCAAGCTTTGAAACATTCAGGAAACTTCAGGGTTTGGGAATGAGTGCATAGTGACATCTGAAACAGGAAGTCATGGCAATATTATAGACATTAAAGATATAGTCATTATATAGTTATTATCTCATTCTTTCCACTTTATACGGTGTGTTATAGAAACTTATTGGTTATTTTTGTTTCGTTAGTGTGTTGATAAGAAAATAAGAAGGAAAATAAATAATTGATAACCTCATTGTTAAAGTCTAGATTTTAAATCTGTCAATCGGGGCCATACTAATTAATGTTCACATGACACACAAGCACATCTGCACCTATATGGAGTTTGTCAAAACATAGCCCATCCTTTTTTTATTCCCATTGTTTCATAATGTTTGTTTCATTACACATTTTTATGTTATTCCTAAGATTTGTGCCTAAAGCGATTTCTAAACTTTTACTGTATTTCAAAATAAACATACATACCCTGTTAATTCTCTGATGGGACAGCCAAAGCATTCAAACGTTTAAAACGACTTGTATGTCTGTGTATAAAATGAATATCGCAAACTTTTTCCTTCTGTTTCCAGTTTTCCACCAACCAATGTAACCCAAGCTTTGAAACATTCAGGAAACTTCAGGGTTTGGGAATGAGTGCATAGTGACATCTGAAACAGGAAGTCATGGCAATATTATAGACATTAAAGATATAGCCATTATATAGTTATTATCTCATTCTTTCCACTTTATACGGTGTGTTATAGAAACTTATTGGTTATTTTTGTTTCGTTAGTGTGTTGATAAGAAGGAAAATAAATAATTGATAACCTCATTGTTAAAGACAATTAAAAACATGATGTGAGTTAGCTGCATTGAAGTTTAATAGATTATTATTATGCTTACCACTAGGTGTCGTCCGAAAGAAAAAAGTCGGGGCATTACAACAATAATAATCTTAACACAAAACAAACTTAAATAAGCGTCCTGTCGCGATAAAGTTCTGAAACTACAGAAATCCACAGCACAAATACACGGTAAGGTGGAGAAGAATAAATCTCAACTCGACACACTTAACTTGAGGTTTTGTAGCCACTAGAACAAAATGACGAAGACAAAATACAAATATATGAACGCAAGAGCACAGTAATCGCCATATTGATTTTGACAAATTGATCCAAATAAGTAAAAAATTTCGTCTTTTCGAGAGTGCGTGTAGCGTCATCTAGTATTGTTTATGCACACCTGGTAGTACTCATAATAGTTTTGGGGAAATAAAATGGATGTCGCTACTATCTTTGCAAAATTATGGCTACTAAGGGAGTGTCCCCCCCGTGCGTCTCCACGAGCGAGAGAATCGCGACGAGTTCTCACTTCTATCGTCGGGTCATCTCCATGATCGAGCAAGTATTCCTACAACGTGTCGTCACGACTTGTGACGAAATCGCAGCGTGTCCTCAACGACTTGTCGGAATCGCCGCATTTCTGATGATCCTTGATAGTTCTTTTGTTTGTTGAAAGAGTTCAATTACATGCCAGACGAAAGCAACATAAATAGTGTCTCAGAACAGAAAATAATTCTGTATTATGAATGTTGTTTAAAAAGCTTAATGAGACTACGTTTGACAGCGTGCTCGCGGTGGGCGCACTTCCAACGGTGACGACACGGCGCCGTTACGCATGTACAAAGCCACTCGTGTGAGTCGTCGTATCGCCGCGATAACATCGCCGTGTGGAGACGCGGTCAGAGAGTACCTATATAAAATATGTGACACGACGATATCGCCACGATTCTCTCGCTTATGAAGATGGCGCCTAATGCAAACAGCTGGCTGTCAAACAAATGTCAAAGGTGTCAAAGTTTAAGCAAATGTTTACCCGAGTTTATGATTTTTCATACTGTTTATGTGATGTGTAATTAAATATAACAGCAGCATAAAATGTATAAAGTCGATTGTTTATACTGAACTTTTAACTTTAAGTCATAATTTTCTAGTCATAACCTAAACAACACTGTGACTAATTACTTCCACATTTGTGAAGATTTTATACGCATTACTTATCGCATACTCTTCACAAAAGGTCGCGCATGTACTAAGGTTGATTTTAATATGGGTAACAAATCGTCATTATTGCTTCGAGAAGAAGAAATAGCTCAAATTCAAGAAGAAACTGGATGTGAGTACATTATATTTCTTTTATAAATTTATAATCTAAATTAAGCAATATATTTCCTTCAATCACATTTGTTGTAAAAATCAAATAATTGAAAATCCAAACAAAGATAAAGCTAATCTAAGAGTTTTATTATAGAAAATATTGTCAATGTCATCAACTGTTTTTCATTTTCACAGTTACACCAAATCAAATTGAAAGACTCTATTCCCGCTTCACGTCCCTTGATAAAAATGATTGTGGAACACTATCTCGAGAAGACTTTCTAAGAATTCCAGAGCTTGCTATTAATCCATTAAGCGAAAGAATTGTGCATAGTTTCTTTGCTGAGAGTCATGATGACAGAGTGAATTTTTTACAATTCATGAGGGTTCTGGCACATTTCAGACCTATTAGAAAAAATAGAGAAAACAAATTGAACAGTAGAGAAGAAAAACTCAGATGTAAGTATAGACTATTTATTGAATAAAAAGGTGATATGTGTGGAGTTGACTTTCAAAACATGCTATAATGTTTTTATATGAAAACAGTCATGACTTTTAAAATCTACTTAATTATGTGTTTCTTTTTTTAAATTCAACAATCAGTTTGCATCAAAACTCACAAGGTACTTTCTAAACTGACACAAACATTAATGTTTGCTACAAAGCAAATTTTTATATGTTTTGGAAGTAGATCACTCATATATGTTTATCTTTTTTGTTATCTTTGGGACTTGTGGCTGATAATTTTATTAAAAACATCAAAGACCAGACATTCAATTTGAGTTTGTCACACCCACACCTCCCTTTCACCAAACTGCATATTCAAACCGTATGGGTACTGCTAGCATTACCATCACATACATTTATCCATGCCAGTCACTGTTGATACTTCTGTTTTTTTATGATCTTGTCCTCAAGAATTTCAAATCCCAACTCATCTTTATATGATAGAAGGTTAAGCAGAGTAAAAAAACAATTATGATAAGTACATTTAAGTTCTTATATTTCCAGTTGCCTTCTCTATGTATGACCTAGACAATGATGGCAAGATATCAAGAGATGAGTTACTAGCTATTCTACACATGATGGTTGGAGCAAACATCAGGTTAGTCACATAACTCTAGAATATCAAACGAACCAAAAAGCATAATCATTATTCTGGGCTGTTATCTACACCCTTGATGATTTTACCAAAACCTTTTAATACTTAGCAACAATTTTTTGTGATAAGATAAGCAATTTTATTCAATTAGTTATTCAAATACCTAATGTATTTTTTCTTATTTACTTAAAATTCTGGCAAGCTATGCGATTTTCTTTATTATGTGCATATTGGAACAAGTTGTCAAAAAAAGTAACATTAATTCTAGGCAGGAGTTAAATAAACTATTAAAAACCATTGGTGAAAGGATTTTCAAAGGCAAAAGGATTTTAGTTTCAAAGCCTATTTAGTGCAAACAAACAAATCTTTCCTCTCTATAAAATTAGCATAGATAAATGAAACAACTTTTAAACAGTCTCGTTGCGTTTGTATTTTCTTTTATTGCTGTTCTGGACCCTTTACAGGTTCCATGTTCACATAAGACTAAGGTGTTGATTGTCTTTTAATTAAGACATTATCTGCCTTCAAAATAATTCTATTGGACACATTCACAATACAAAAAAGAATTACGTTTACATTTATTGAAAATACATTTAATAAATGTAAATCTTTCCATATTTTTTTTGTATGTGTCTAATAGTTTTGTTTTGAAGATAGCTAGCTATACCCTCAATTAAAAAAGACAACCAACTCCTTACTCGTTAAAATATAAGAAATCAATTAGCATAGTTATTAAAATATTATTTGTAAAATGTTTCAGATAATTATATCATGTAACCTAGCAATAAATAACTAAAGCATTTTAAAAAGTTGAATTTGAACTGAATTTGAAAAATAAATTTAAACTTTATCAGTTACTAATAGAACATCTTTGTGTTCCAGCGAAGAACAGCTCACTAGCATTGCAGAGCGCACCATATTAGAAGCCGACACAAACAACGATCAAATGATCTGCTTTGAAGAGTTCTGCCGTGCGTTGGAGAGGACTGATGTAGAACAGAAGATGTCTATCCGATTTCTCAATTGACCACCACATTCCTGAACCGCATACATCAAGTATATACTGACCATAGTTCTTATAGTAATAATCTATGGGCTGCTAACTAAAAAATGAGTTGATTACTCTCCTATGGACTAAAGCTTGATATTATTTGTTGTATATATTTTGTAGTGAATACTTAGTTTGAGATATGGGTGTATAATTTATTACAATTATTTTTATTGCTTTAGTTATTATTTATTTTACTTGGGGCTTTGTAATATATTGTACAAGTAAAAGTTTGAAATTATTTAACTAGTACCAAACATCAATTATAAATAAATGGAGACATTCTGTTATAGAGCAGATGTCATTGCATACATTTTGCAATAGTTATGACATAAACACACGCCAACTTTTATTAAAACAACCACTGGTGGTGATGTAATGGTGTTCTCTGAACAATTCAATTTAGATAAGTTACAGTTGGCATAGTAACATCCACCAGTTTCACTGTCAAACTGAAATTTTGCCACCTTTATAGAAATACTGTAATGTTTGAATAGCCGGAAGGCATTTCCTCTGGCCAGATTGCTTGCGGTGGTCATTCAACTTTTCCAAAGAATCAAACGATAGTCTGTGTGTTAGTAATACCTGCAAATGTGTTTTTATCATTATTATATTAGCGAATGTAAGACAGGCTTCAAAACATTACTAATTACATTCGAAAGATAACTATAAAAATATATATGGACTCCATTTTCACCTGTTTTTATGATTACCACCACTAGGACTATCTTTCCTCTCTTTTTAATTGCGTTACGTTCAATTACAGGCAACCGTATGTTGTCCAGTCTCTAATATAATTATCTCTAAAAAAGTAGTTTTATTACCATGTCATTTTGTCCTTTGAGCTCCGATAGCATTATACCATTTTGGTTAGTCGATCGATTGCCCCTGAAGTAGGTATATCCCCAGGATAAGTATATCTACTAGTAACCAACATGCTTTATATAGTTGGTGTATTTTCATTGACTTTATCAGAAACAGAAATGTTAACAGATGTACTCGTATTTTTAAAAGCTTCAGGAGCAAATGATTCTGATTATTTTAGAGCGTTACTTAAGTCGTTGATTAGAAATCGTTCATCGCCAATTAAAATTAAAACTTATATCAACTTTAAACCATGGCAAAATAATAATGAACCTCAAAGTCTATTGCAGAATTTTAACGTTTCATGGTAACCTGTATATTATTTCGAACTATATTGATTTCATAATCAAAGTAAAATATATCTTTATTAAATAGCACAAAATTATGAAACTAACAATTGTATAATTTTTAAATTTTCCTACTTATAACTACCTGTTTTTCCGCATAATGAAAGAATTTATAAACCGGTCCACTAGTTTCGGAGCCTATTCAATGCAAAGAAATTATTAAATCTGTCGTCTTATAATAGTAATAATTAAAAATACTTTATTGTAAACACCACAGATATTTTCATAAACGTATGAATCTAAACGATACATCAAAGAGTAAGAAATGGCGGTTTTATCGCTGAAAGCGATTTCTACCAGACAACCTTTGGATGGAGAGGAATGTTAATTAGTATAGCATAGCAAACCTAATTTCAGGTTTTTAACGAAATTATTGTGTTTTATAGATGCATTTATTGCAGGTTGTATATTTGTATGTATTTAGATGGCGTATTAGTGACATTTTTACTAGGATGGCATAATTGAACTAGTATTGAACCAATATAGGTACATAATTGATAAAAATAATAATTTTATTACGCCACAGAGAGTCTTAAACTGAAAGTATATTTGTAAATTTAGTGAGTCGTTACCAAAATAGAATAGGATGTGAAGATTACTCTTATATTTATTAAATGTACTGCAATAGTAAAATCAATTAAAAATAATATTTATAAATAAATGGTTTTATTTTTTGGTAAATTCCATAATATGTAGAAGGAACTTCATCTCGAAGGTCATTAACAAAGGTCAAGCCGCACTGGGTCAGCATTATGTGTCATGGTAGCCCATACTATTCAATTGCATCCATAGCAAGGTCACAATCCCAGTAGTGGACCGTCACTAGCTTATCCCATTAATAGGCCGATCGACGTTATTATATCGAGTTTAGTGTCACGCCTAGGGTTGCCAGATAGCGAGACTAAAATATCTGGTCAAAATTTGAAAAAGTCAGGATTTTGGGATCACAGTCGGAACAAAAAAAAAACTAATAAAGAATCCACTTTTAATTTATTAAATTTTAAAATAATAACAAGGGTCTACTTTTTGTCAATTCATAAGATCAGATAATAATAGTTTACATTGAAACAGCTAATATACCTACTTATTATATTTTTTATGATATGTCTGTTATTTTATTTTTTGTTATTCGATTTTACAGAATCTAACAATTTTTGTCGTTACATATTTGTTTTTTTCGGGACTCTGGACATAATACGAAATGTCTGGACAATCCAGACGAATCCCGACCATCTGGCAACCCTAGGCACGCCTACCAGTGGCGTACACACCGTACATGCAAATCAGCACTTTATACCCTGCCTATGAAACCCAACTAAACCTACATTGTTTAATTATGTACTCGATACGAGTAGTCCGACTCAGGATCATTGTTAAATTAGTAAAAGTGCCATCTATCAAAAGTTGTCTGAACTACTATAACGTTCTATTGAGCGGAAGCCGAACGAAATCAAGAAGAGAAAAAGATTTGTTTAGCCTTCACAATAAAAATACAAAAGATCTTTGAACCAGCAATAACAGATTTATATATATTTTTACCGATATGATGAAATTTTTCATTCAGATTACTGCTACAGAACTTTCGTTAAATCTATATATATAAAAATGAATCGCAAAATGTGTTGGTAAGCGCATAACTCAACAACGCCTCGACCAATTTGGCCAAATCTTTTTTTAAAATGTTCGTTGAAGTTCAAGGATGGTTTTTACGGCGAGAAAAATTAGAATTATTGCTGGAAAAACCCTAAAAATAGCCCTTTTCTTTTTCCCATACAAATGATTTGTAACTAAAACGTAGTCAATTTGAGCTTTATTGCTATGGTATAAAGTTCATATTAAATTACAAGCACTCACTGTTGTCTAAGCAATGTAGGTGTGTTCCTAACGTCAAAGATCATATCTATCAAAACAATGTGCGTGTGTGCGTTGGAGCACAGAATACATAGTTGGAGGAGTTCACAACGCCCTATCACCAGGGTGACGGTTCTGTTCAGGAGAATTTTTTTAAATACGTAGGCAAAAAAACTGCCACATTACAAATCTTTTTGACAGGACGAAGTTTGTCGGGTCAGCTAGTATAGAATGATAGTACATTTGTATATTGCATTGCATTGTACTGATCACTAAAAATCACTTATTTTTCCTGTAATTATATGAAATTAATGAAATCGAAAATCTTTTGACATTCAGTAAAACCAGTAAACATATAAATAGATGTCTATGGTAAACATATAAAACTTGACTGGCTAAATGCACAAACCCTGCGAACAAACTCTGTGTCAAAAGAAACAATTTGACCACAGAGTACATGTATGCGTATAGCAAATACTTGTTTCTGTGTGTCAAATGGATAGTAGTGTGTGTAATGTTTTTTATTTATCGATTTAATGTACTTTATAAGCATTATTACTGAAAAATATTAGCCGTTTACATTTCTCATACATATAAACTGTAAGTGTGCCAAATTTCATACTCCTCCGTCCTGGCAATTTTTGTAAAAAGGGGTCCAAAGTTTTTGCTTCACGGATCAATATATAGATTATGAATTATCTTCAAACTTTAAAAAAAAGTGAATATTAATACTTATCTCAAAATAGACTTATTAAAGTTTGAAATCGGTTCTATTTTTATTTTTTTTATTTTACGCTTTTAAGTGATATTGATATTTTTTTGTATAATTGGTAACATTAAAAATACTTTTCTGAAAACCGCGTCAAAATCGGTTCGATTCAGCCAAACGCGAGATAATCGCGGGCAATACATACACCACGTGTTAAAGTGCGAACCTCCATTTTTTTACTCGATTAATATACCTAAAACCTCCTCCTTTTTTAATTAGTTTAAAAATAGTAAATGTGATACCCGCAATAAACTTAAATATTTGGTTTGGCAATGGACGTGTTAATTTGTGTAAAAAAACATAAACCACCATTCGTATATATAAACATTTATTAATTCAAAATAGTATTTAATTTACATAATATTTTGTAAAACATATATTTAAACATAAAATTAAAAAGATTCTACTATCCACATTAACAGGACATCTGTCTGACCACATTTATGACATTGATTTAATTTGATAACACCGATTCGAGTACATCGACACCAATTTACTTAATACAGTGTTAATAACACGTCAAATTACTACAAAAGGTCCATTCTTCAATCAATGTCGAGCTTTAATCTCAATAGTTAAAGTTCAAAATTTCCACCTTTTGTAATAACCTTCAATTATAATTGAAATACATATTATAAATAATTGAAATACCAAGCGGACAGTGTAAAAGTGATCTTAGAAGAGTTGCATAGACGTGAGAGGAAGTCGCGTACCAGCTACAAACATCTATTAATTATTAGATGAAACTATATATCTACGTTAACTTTAAATATTGCATTCGGACAATGTAGTTAAATTGTGTAAAAGACTACACTACACATTTATTCATGCTACTATTATATGACCTTTTTTTTTTCTTTCGTCTATTCTATCCTTTTCTATTGCACGGAAGCGTCGCTGTTTAAATCGACAGGCCCGGATCTACGTTTTGTTTAACCTCCCAATTACGCTCTATATATTAGCCTACTTGTATGAAACGCGTTCTTTTTAGACTGTAAGTCGGTATTATTAATGATGATAGTCGCCCCCTTGACACCAACCAAAATCTCCCCCCCCCCCCTACCCCCGTTCGGGCCTGTGAAGCGAAAAGTTCTTTTGTCTCGCTTTATTTTGGGTTCTAATGGATTCACCTTGTTTGTTACGGACGCTTATGGCATTGAAACTGCTTTACAATTCGCTTGTAACATAACCAGTGATATTCTGTTCTAGTTCCACGACCCCTTTAGATAACGAACCGTCGTCTATATCGATTAATGTTATAACGCCAACCACAATATTCAACTAGTAGATATTCTGAAATCGGATTAAAGTGTCCTGTCCGCTCGCCTTTATAACAATAACATACGTACATATCAGTAGGTACTTAGTTCTCTATGGATCTTCAGTCAAAACGTGTGCGAGGAAAGAATTAATGAAAACCGAGGTGATTGTGGTTGGTTATTGCTGTAGATCTGATAGCCCTTGCTTCAGACGAAGAAGAGTAGTATATTTATTTGTGAAGCAACATATAGATGCGTCCATAGAGAACGTAATAAAGAATAACATACACGGTGACTTCACTGATATGTGTGAATCAGCAGAAAATAACACAGACAATTGAATTTAAACACAGAATAAAATAACTCTACCATTCGTATAACACCAGAGGTAGCAGGAACCGCGACAGCAAATAAGCGGTGATCGGAAAAAGTGGTATGATGAATCGAAAATCGGCGATACACTGACGCATCACGTCCACGACCGTGGGCTGTGGTGGTCGCGCATCCTCACCGTCGTCGAACGTTCTCATTCTCAGGTGCGGGTAGTTAGAGTTCAGGGGCGGGAATATGATACTGATTTCATTACCATTTTTCAAATCCATAAACGAGTCGGACATTTGCCTGATTAGTGGATAATAGACGACACTACCATCGCCTTTAGTTGTTTGTTAAGCGGTCGATGACACGGCCAACTTCTTGAGGTGCTCCATGAACACTTGCAATGACACGTCATCCGTGAGCACGGGGGCGCCACCGTCCTACAGAGAAATGCGAGAATTTAAAAAAGGTGCTATTACATTTGTGAGTTCGCTGAAGTTTAGACAGGTTATCGTTTTATACTAATAATATCCTAAAAAATTACTGATTCAACTTAAGACTCGACCATATTAAAATCTATTATGTTATTTTAAAATTTATATTTACATGCTTTCTATTAATTTATATGTCTAACTTCTAGAACTCACGTGAAATGTATCACAAACATAAAATAATAAAATTAACACCACCTCCCTTGTAGCTTCGCTAAAATAAAACTATATAGATAATAAATGGAGAAAAGTAATAATATAAGAGCATATTAAGTGTCTATCAAATACATTAATTTGATATGCAGACTAAAAATCAACAATATAGGTAAATAAAATTAGTGACAAAATTAATAAGCGTAATGGCTCATTTACACTTATCGATGGGGTCAGCATGCAGGGTGCGTACGACATCTGTGGGCTCGTCTCATTGGTCAATAAAATAATCACAGACCAATGAAAAGCAGGAACAGAAATCACCCACACGCTACACGCGGAGATCATTGACCAGTGTAAAAATTTCATAAGACATAGTTATAAAGTTAAACAATTGATGAGTGTAATAAGCAAATATAAAATAAATATACGTTTATTATATGTTAGTGCAAAAAACAACCCATCCCACACCCGTTAAAAGAAAACAGAAAAGAAAAAAAACTCTACCGCTGATGGTATCGGCATCGCCTGGTTTTCGCCAAAACAATGATGGAACAAAGAAAAAATAAAAATCAAACCATGCTTTCATGGCAATTTACAAAATCAAAACATGCTTCAATTTTAATGATCATGCATCAATAGAAACTTTCATCATGTAAGGATCAACATTACGCAGCCTGTTACCGTTTTATTAAAAATGGAGAACTTAAAATTGAATTAATAAATGAAAAATTTATTGAACACACCATTAAAAATTACAACAGCAAAATATGACGTATTTGCATTTACACAATTCCGTCAATGTCACATTGGTGGCCTTTACATGTAACCTAACCCAAGCAGCAAAATGTGGTCTAGTAATCGTTCTGGAACCACAATTTCATCAGGACTATAATGGAATAGTAAGCAATTATAACCACGGAAAAGGGCCCATTTTACAGGCGTATTTACTCTAATTCAATATCTATAATGGACTTGGTGAACACTACTTTGTTCAGTAACGACCCTATAGTTAGTCTACGTAGAACTATTTGCTCCTGCGAAGTTAACTATCAGCGCTTAATGGAACCAAATACGGCAGTAAAAAATCTCTTACAGAACCATTCAAAGTGTTGTGAATTGGCAAATGTTGCTGCACATATTTATATTGATAATGGTAACTTTTCATCCATTTCTAATTTTAATTAATATCCAAAATATTAATCATAAGTAAAGAGTTACTTAACAATAAGTAATGGCTTGCGCATGTATATTTTCGGTGAAGTATACCAAGTTTTCTATTAAAATTTTTACGCGCCTCTCAGAAGAAGCGTTTTTAATAAGTTAGATTTCGAAATAATGTCGGTTTCAGTAAGACCATACAACGAAAAGTCGCCATCTTGACAGATGGTTTTTCCAAATACATTAAAAAACCATTTTAGGCGTACTTTGTCTAAAAAGGGCAGACATTAGAACCGTTGCTTGGCCATATTTTTTTGGAATCAGGGTTCAACAAATATTTTTCTAACTGGCATGATTCTTTTAATATTTTTGTTTAGAAATAAACATTTAGCAAGGTAGTGTTTTTGAACATCGATCGCTTTTTGACTAAAAGCGATTTCGAGCTTTGAAAACATCAAGGTGACCTTGGGAATAAATTATTGTGTCAAAGTAAGGTAGCAAATCTGACGTAAGAGGGAAAATTTTGAATTTACCTTGAATAAAAATTCATTAGCAAAAATCAATATTATGTTTATTTTTGTTAACTTCTGACCTATTTACAACTACTAATGGAATTATTTTTAACTACTAATAGAATTAACCAATCAGTCAATTATTATCAAAAATTGTTGTTCAAATATTTATATAATTCTGGTATATTTGAACTGGTAAATTTTGATATATTTCAACCATACAGAATACTCGCAAGCTTATATTTTATGTTTGAAATTTTAAAGACCTTTTCCTTTCTATTGTTGTTGATTTCATTAAAATTGCATTGATATATATTAAGAAACAATGATTTTATTAATTGATCGAATGCATCTTGTGCTTGTACAATAGCATTACCACGTATTTCAATATAATGTTCTTGGGTGTAGACCCAGTGATTTTAGAAAAACAGCCCATTTTCTAAAATCACTATGTAGTTCAAAATTACGAGAAGAATAGTCTTCAATATCGCTTTCATCTTTTGACAGATTCCTCACTTGATAATTCAAGGGATGAATTGATATAAACCATATTGAAATACGAGTTGTTAATATAAACGTTTTGTCTCAAACTATCACAAGAATTGTTTTGTACGGAACTATTTCCTATTTCTACGATACTTTCTTCGCCAGACAAAGTTAAAACCGGACACCTGAATTATTTGTTCATAGGTTTTCGGATTTTTTCGTTTGTATGAACCATTTCTTTTTAGCCGTTTCTATTTATACAGATCCATTTGATAACAGAAGTTAATAGTACTTCGGCAAGGAAAAAGATTTATCAGAATTAAAATAGTTTTGTTGAGATTATAACAACTTTTGCAGGACCATAATAAGCCAATGTATTCTTGTATCAAATTCTTTATAATAGGTTTGTGATTATAACAATATTAAGTTACACCACTATAAAACTTATCCATTTTACGTATAATTGTTGCGTATAGTGGATTTATAAACCTATACAAAACCAAGTAATAAATGCAAATGGTTTCCAGTTTGTTTAGCACTCTTATTGGCGTACTTTACTTGTAATAGTTCTATAATGAGTTATTTTAGCAGTTATAAGAATAGCTTACTAGTTTATCTACTCTCGAGTACATTTACACCCACAGCATGCTTTTATAGGGCACCTAAGCGTATAATATATCCTTAATTTTGATCTATAAGTGATTATAAGTTGATATATAAGATCAGATATACTACAAGGACCAAGTGACTCCATGCTTCCTACTATAAGCGTGGTAGTAAATACTATGACCGTTAAGAGAATGTTATAAGTGCTGAAGGCCTATAACAACTGTACTATAGGATAATTTTGCTGCTTGGGAAGTACTTGGTTTAAACACGTTAGATTGAGAAATGTTGGCTTGATTTGGTCGGTAAATGGCCGAAAGAGTCCTAGTTATAAATGTAGCTCTCGTTTTATAATAAGACAGATATTGTTTTAACAGCAAAATAATAATCAAAACGAATCAATGAGTTAACGAAAATCGTATTAGAAATATGGCAGTTGGTCCTCCTAATTTTTTAGACGGGCATAGCATATTAATATAAGATTATTTATTAGGTACAGAGCACGTATTAAAGGATCATTAACAAATTAATATGTTGCAAAATAAACAAACACCACTATATCAAATTATGTTTTTCACAACATACTTTGACAATTGTTGATGTAGTGGTGTTTGTACAGTAAAAAAATAGTCGATGAGCTTTTAGATGAGACTTAAATATGTTCCTTATATTATTCAGATAAAGCTTGATTAAATGGAATTAAATTCTCACTTAGATAAGAAGTTCAACTGTTTGAGCGTCTCTCTGAGGTAATCCTTACGAAACATATCCATGTGCATTTATACTTATGAAACGTTAATATGACAAAATCAAATATTCAATCAAAAATGAAGTTATGTTTGACGCTGTCAAATAGAGATAGATTCCCACTAAGATATATGTATTACAGCTAACATCATAACTATTAAAAATAAATAATTATGAGAGCAAATATGATTCTTTTCTAAATAATTAAATGAACATGAAGCTCTAATAAATATGATGTGAAAAATACTGACCCCTCCATACGCGTACATGTTGTTGTGGGTCTGCGATGGGTTCACCTTGGATAGCAGGAACCGGGCCTGAAATATAATAAATATTCACTTGATTTATGAAGTAGATATGCAACTACTTCAATGCTATATTGCTCTTAAACAATATCAAATAATATTACAAATTAATTAAAATCAATTTGAATACCTCTGAATTTACAGTGAAATTATGCATATGCATGCATGCATATAAATATAACTTAGATGACTTTACGTTAATATGGAATAGAACTGATCTGATGATGGAGTTGGAAGGTAGTCATACGACCTATGTAAGTACGTCAAATTTGAGCTTATTTGGTTTGTCTATACAATATCTTTGGTTGAAATTATGTATGATTTATTTTTAAAAAGAAAATTTTGGTTTTAATTTCTTATTCAATAAAAAATACAGTGTCAGAAATAAAGACGGACAACTGTTCCAGTTTTTGAACTAACCGAAAGCTACATCGTGTGAGAGTCAAATCGAGTTTTTTTATAATAATATAAATATCAATACAGCATTTTGAATGAAAAAGTCATATATGATTCCTTTTTACATTCAATATTTAAAATTATTGGTAACTGACATCAAAAATATAAAAACAATAACATAAAAACGTGCTAGTTCTATTGAACATACCAATATCTTTCGTATCACGATCCAATAAAAATCAGTTTCATCAAACGGCCAAACAAAACAACAATATAAGTGAGCACTTTCTACGTCACAATAGATACACACACAATCAATGAACAGTACAAGTGCGTTTTGAAACAATGAGAGGGGAGCATAGTGTACCGATAAAAGCGTCATGATAATGCTGTGTAGAGCTCTGTTGACGGCGCTCGCCATCTCATGTACGTTCCCACTCGCACACGTTCAGGGCACACAACGTAAAGTCCACAGAAAAGGTTCCATTAACAAAATGTTTATTGTAAATAAAAATAAATAAACTGGCCAGTAGCGCGCGACGAAGGTTACTTTCCGTGACACGTTCACAAAATCCTAAGTTACAATGAACGATTGTAGTGAACGTATAGTTGATTTCAGATCTAATATGTGTACTGTGGTTGAGTGGATTGCAAAAGGAGGACCTGGACGTAAACATACTGAGGAAACTGCAGCGGCATAATGTAAACATCGATGATAAGAATCCAGAGTGAGTGTTGAGCTAGTAACACTGTATTACTTGTTTTTTCTTTGCAAACATTATAAGCACTTCTGTATCGTTGTAGCGATTTGAAACAAGATTGCTTAAACACAGATACGAGAAGAGACAACAAGAAAGAAGAGAAAAATATTACCGATGAAGATACTATGACAACAACATCAACGTTTGAAAGTAAGGTAACATTAAAACAAATTCTTTATTTCGATTAGTTTTATAATAAATTTTCGATGCTCCTGTTTTAGCTGAAACTGTAATAAATAAAAAGTATGACGAATCAGAATTAAAAAACGATCTGTCAACTATATTAGACAATATTATGGATAAACAAAAGCAAAAGGCTCAAGAAAAAGACTCCATTGTTATCGGGGAAAATCTCGAAATAGGTCAATCACCCCGGTTGGAAAATATCAGTGACAATGAAAATTCGAGGAGTACTGCTGAATTCCAAATTGAAGAAACACATCTGGACAACGATAAGTCAAAACTAGAAAACGTTATTAACTTCTGGAAAAAAATGGCAAATCCAAACACTAAAAACTATAACATTGCTGTGACAAAAAGGACAAAGATGACGAAGAAAAGATCTAAAAAGAAGACGATTACGAAAACTACATCTAATGAAGCGATTTCTAAAGAGGCTGAACATCTTAATAAATTATTAGCAACGTATTTCAATAAAAACACGAACTCCCCCACAACACAATCTTCGATTATATCATCTGCCGATTTAAGTAATTTACGCAAGCTCACTAAACAGTTTGAAAATTTCTTCAAGTTGATGTCTCAAAATAAAATAATTCACAATAATAATGAGAAGACTGTAATGGCTAACTTAACCGAGAATTACGATTCAGTTAAAGATAACAACGTCAACTTTAATAATAATAACATGCCGCAACAAGCTTTTATAATGCGAGCGAGCAAAAAAAAGTTTGTCGATAACGATTCAAAGAAACATTCCATAAGTGATATCAGTGGCCTACTACTTTTTAATGATCAACTTAAAAGATCATTTACACTACCAAATAATACATTTTCACCTCCGTATCTAATGCCAATAATTGGACAATTAAATAATAATCAACAATTTTATACAACACCCGAGTCGGAAATTCCCACTACAAACCAACCGATAACAATTGTAAAAGATAAAATTAGACCGCAAGAAATAAATGTATTCCCCAAAGATGTAATCGAAAAGATAGCTGAGAACGTGAAAGAAAAAGTTTTGGAAGATTTAAGAAAAGAAACAGCTTCGACGACATCGCAATACACAACCACGAGCACTGTCACTACAACTACAGCAGCCACTTCGCTGAACAACGTCAAAACAACAAAAACAGGTGAGAAATTGAACCATATCGTTACGAGCTGACAAACAAACAATACAGTACTCCTAACTTCACCGTTCCTGTAATTACTATGTCGTTACTTCACGGTGCTAACTAATCCTACCGCTTTACTTTAAAAGCTAATACTTGTCACTCCATGACAGTATCAATTTTAACGTTTATTAAATATTAATATCAAAACATGTAAATATATTCTTATTATTTAAAACATTTAAAATAATAAATCTAAATCAATATTACTCGATCATTACTCATTATACAATGATATATAAAAAAAATTGCTTGTAGAGTATACTAGAAATAAAGAAATAGTCGACGAAATAGAAAATGACAATGTCTTCTTAAAAAAGAAACTTTTTGTTTACTCATAGAATAATACATATTAGAAAATATTCTTTAGAGTCTTTGCTCGACTTCTAAATCAAATAGATAAAGCCCTTATATTATAATCAACGAAAGTACCTTAATCAATAATTCAAATGCTAGAAAAAGTACTTAAATTATATTTTTGACTTATTACAGATTTAGTTATTAATGGAAAACCATTCGAAAATAAAACTGAAGACGCAAATTTAATATTGAAAACCATTACTGAACTGTTCAAAGAGTTCAAAGCTTTCAAACAGATGTCAATATCAACAACACCACATCCAAATGAGAAATTTGAAGCAAATAAGCTACCCACACAAATTGTGAACACACATATCATAAAGAAACAAACTGAACCCAAAATTTCATACCAATCAGTTGTGCCACAAAATATTGTACAAATGTATGCGACCGCGGATAGTAAGAAAAACATAAGACTGAACATCCCTATGCAGCCACAAATCAACACGATGAAACACTCGGCCATAATACAAACTAATTCAGGAGAGATACCACCGTTAAGTATTCCTGTATCAAATCCACTGAAGTTAATACACCAGAACATTGTGGTTACAACTGCACGACATCCAGTCCAAACAGTACAGTCTAAAGAGCCATGGATAATTAATAGTTACAAGTCCAATGACAGACATTCGAATCATTCACAATACAGATATATTCCGTCACATCATTTAATACATAACTCTATTGAACAACAACCGAATCATCTAAAGCACAGTCCTCTTATCTCTCACGGAGAATTAAATCGTTCACAATACAATCACAATTCCTTTCATCGGGATAACGATCGTTTGCAATATTTATCTGATCAATCTCATCATTATACAGACCATACAAGGTATAATTCTAATCCGTCACATCCAGATTCCACCCGTTTACGATATGATTCCGATCACTTGAAATTGAACCCTATCACTTCTAAATACGATCTGAGATTCTCCAATTACAATACAGGTGCTCCTATGTTCAAACGACCCACAAGTAACGAACGTTACAATATAAGGAACGAGATGGCGAGACATATAGATCAAAAGAGCGATGATAAATTAGCAATCATTAACCGATCGAGCGATTATCGTTCAAATATACAACCAACATTAGAAGACTTTTATGAAAGTAATATTCGTGATTTGAATAAAAGTCAATATAAAAATATAAGCAGTGATATTTATCGACATCCTGTCATAAAAGGATTCCATGAAAGATTGGAAAGGGTGGATAACTGGCAAGGTGAGGATACGTCGAAATGTTGTGAAGATTTGGCTTTGGCATCGAGGCAACAATTAGCACTCAACACTATGAAAACCAATTACGACGACACACACTTCAAGGACTTTTTAAAAACACAACAGCGTGTTAACGACATGCTGGAGAAAATACTGTCATCTAAAACGTCTGAACCTCGCAGTGTTGAAATTATCTAGAAAAAATACATTCATACTGAAACATCGAAATCCTACTTGTGCAGAAATATTGACTTTCATAATATTATAATGAGAAAGTATTTAAGAATAAAATAGTAGTTTTCGAAATGAAAATAGATGGCACTAGCGCTACTATGTATTTTAAAACACTCGCTCCAAGCATCTATTTGTTAAATCAAATTAATTATTAAATGCGTTCCGATTTCTGTTTTTGATATTTTTACTAAAGATAAGTTAAATTTCGAAAATCAATGGTAAACAATCGTCGTTATATTATTTAACGCTTCGTGTTTCTTTTGATATCTAAGTTTTTTAACTGCAATATTCATTTATTTTACGAATTACTGTTTGATCAATTTTTATGTTATCGTTTTGTGTGATATTGTTTCTTTTTCTTAATACTTTTCGTTCTTATGATATAATGAAAATAAAACCAAAAAATTTGTCTTTATATTTTATTTAAACTATTTAATCGCTAGATATTCAATAGCTGAACTCGAGCTTTACTGGAGACATTATAATTTATAATAAAAAAGGAATTTTATTAAAAAAAAAAACTTTATCTCTAAGATAATACCAGGTAAGTTACATTTAACAAGTTTCCTGTAGAGATAATAATTCTGCCTCTTGATAAATAGACATGAATCGATAAAGTAGTCTCTATAAATTGCACAAACGTCTGTTAAAATTGTCATTAGTTTAAAGCAATATCTTAAAGTCGTCAATAAAGGTGCAACTGACTGATTATTTCATAGGTGTCTATTATGTTATTCTTAGACAACAGGTAGCATTCTACCCACACAACCTCGTTCGTGTGAACAAAGCCTTTTTTACTATTAATTGAATGAACATGATTAGAATTTGGCTACAGACATCTGATTATTTTGCTTGTCAATTGCAAAAGAAAAATCAGACTTCAAACAAAATTAACCCAGCATACACACTTTGGTGCCATTTTTCAGAATTCCTGAAAAGATTCACACGAATGATGAACGAAAGTTTGGGGGAATAATTATAAATTTTACTACAAAATTCATAATGAAGCATGAGCAAAAAAATATGTACAACTGACCTGTGAGCCGCCATGTTCCGTGTCTATGTACCGTGGTACAGGGAATCTAGTCTGCAGGATCTCCTGCGCGTCGTCTATAGGAGCACGCAACAGTTGAGCGAAACTCTCATACTCGGCCATGTCTTGGTAGCGGAGCGCCCGCCACTGGGCTATTGTCTAACAAATAAAGTTCACATTCGTTCAGCGATGTTTTTAGGGTCAGTACTCCAAACTTTACCATGCCATAAGGCGCTATTCATTAACATAACCAAATAAATTTTATGTCGATCCCCTCTATGTGAAGAACCTCCCACTGCTTAATCATCAATACGTTTGAATTTAGGGGAAAAATAAGCAATTTTTCATTAATAATCTTAACTTAAAAAAAAAAGATAAATTAGACTCCCCTCTCCCTCCTAAACCATAATGAAGGGAAGGAAAAATTCAGAAACTTTTGGTATAAGTAAAATAAAATACAGCGATGTGTTTTATGCGAGAACATCTTTCTCAAATTATTATCGATATAGGGATATTATATACAAGTATTTTATGCACTCTATTATAGATACTACTAAAATTGAGTCTCTATAAATTATGGCTAGTTAGTCTATGTGATTTATACCGCGGATAATGCCAGTCTCATTAGAGATATAAATAAAATAGATTGAATATCAATTCATTGAGCTCACCTCTCCATGGTATATGAGGATTTGGAAGAATGTGTCCATGAGTAGGATGCGATCCGGCTGAATGGAGGATGTATCCAGCAGAACGGGTTCCGGCGGTCCACCAAAGCTGTACGAGTACAGGATCGGTTGGATCATGATCAGCGACTGCGTCAGATCCTCACGCATCAGCATGTGCCTATGGAGATATTTAACGAGTTGTAATGTAGTAATGTATATAGCACGGTTGCCGAACAGAAAGAATTTCGTACATTGACCTTTGTGCCTATTAATAGATGTTGTATCTATTTTTAGTTTATAGTTAAATAATAGATGCATTTGTGCGAGCGAAATAGCGATATGTTTGCGAACTAGTGAAAGATATATGTAGTGCCGGGTCATTGAACGAAAATCTTTCTATTCAACGACTGTACTTTAAAAAGAAATCGTACTATCATTATAAGAAGCTCGATTGCGCAGTAATTAGCGCATTCCATTTACAATACTGAGAATAAGCAACTTTCACAAAGGCCAATAATAGAATGAATGACCATAAAAAAATTAATAACTCGAGTTCTATATTTTGGTAGGCATTTAAGCCATCAGTCCCACTTGCATTTATGGCTTTGATTTTATCTTAGAATTCAACTTATGTGGGATAGTGATGATTGTGTATTTACCTATAGAAAGTGGTCTCGTCTGGCGAGTTGTTGAACACCTGCAGGAACTGTGATCGACGCAGATGATACATGAACTGCGGGTAAAGGCTGAAGTTCTCTGACAAACGGAAACTGTTTGGATCGTCTTTTCCATACTCGCCGAACTTTTGACACTGTAAATCAAAATAATATATTTATATATAAATACAGTATTGACCACAATATACTATTAAAAAAGTAATTATATCAAAGATAAATATAGTGTATGGCCTGATAAAACAAACTATAATTTATTTTACATTTTTAAAAGAGTATTTATTGTTTTTATTATAATAATAATAATAAAGTTTATTTGTGTTACAAACAACACGTAGGGGTGTAGACAACTTTTTATATTATTATTTTATCAATACACATAACAAACAGAAAAAAGTACCATTTAAATAATAAGTTAAAATCTAAAAATAAATTAAATTTCAAAATTTCCCGCCAAAACGCCAACTTCTGTCATGGCGTCGCTTTAAAACTATATCTTTCAATGTATGCATAAGGTTCAATTCTATAAGTTCCGATATGAGTATAAGGGGCGTGACGTCACGCGCTTATTGCATTTACGTAAAAATGAATATAAAATATTTGTTGTTTTACAATTAATTTAAGCAATATCATATAATATAAAAAGCATATAAGGATAGAAGTGTGATTATCGCTTATACTATATTAAACATTATCAGAAAAAGAAATAATAATACATAATATGTTAAGTAATACGTTTTCGTTTACTGTCTACACCCTATTGAAATGTATTTAGCTACAATTTTTTATATACGCTTTTATACATTTTCACAAAACTGTGACGTAGCGAGCCGTCATTCCTCAACTTTAATGGCTATTGTCTAAGTCATTTCTTTAATTTGAAGCAAAAAAAATGTATGTAATATCTTTCTATTATCTGACTGACGGACTAAACCGTCATCCTTGTTGTAGAGAGCGGTTAGCAACTTTAAGGTGTGTGTACATACCAGACGGATGAGCATTCTGTCGAGCCAGCGGAGCACGTCCGGTCCGTCCTCTAATTCAGCGCGGTAGACGACCAGGCGCGCCATCACCACTGCCGCCGCCTCCTGGTCGAACCCGGCCGCTATATGATGCAGGTTCACCGCAGCATCGCCCCAACTGAAACCATACAAATCTTTCAACTACCCGTACAACTAAACGGGACAGCCTAACACGTAACCGCTATCATTTATTGAACAACACGAGAACAGGACTTTCATCGCAGATGACTGTAGCATCGATTTGCAGCCGAAAATCTATGCGCTGTGTTCAGGCCCGGATCAAGGGACGTCCCGGGCGCCAGTGTCAGGGCGCTGTAATTAACATTATATAATACCTATTTACAGTTTAAAAACACAGCAAGCTTTACAAATCTCTTCATAAACTTTATAGGCTACAACGGGACGGACATGCTTCAAAACTGAAATTAAAGTATTATATATTGCAAAAATATGATATTATAAAATCCGTCTGTACGGAGCGTGAAAGAGTGTAGAGGGCACCATGCGAAGCTTTAGTCAAAACAAAATTGTAGATCTAGGCCTGATAAAACTTATAATTTTTACTGATACCATGATAAAAGACTGATCTGATGAGTGTTTTGAGAAAAGTGACATTCAGTGCAACTTCAAAAGCAATCGAACTACGGTAAAATTTCAAGGTTTATATGTATTATACTTACTTTCTGGCAATCGTGGTGACTCTCACGCGGCGCTGACCACTCGAGTGCTGGTACTGTGTGATCAGTTGCACGCATCCGCGCCCACCTTGAGGCACCGCCGCGTGCTGATTCACCACCTGAACATATTAAATCCCATAGATGTAAACAAAATCTTTTGAACACTTTGCAGAGTGGCAAATACTTCTATTGACTAAAGTGGAGAGCTCGATTGCAGATTAGAGCTTTTGGTATGTGATGTGAAGGTTGAGTTCTTTTCTATACAAATTTTTAGTCATTCTATTTATTATTTAGTTATATTCAAATAAGATAAAGGGGATAAAAGCTTCTTGTTCGCATATAATCAAACTAATTAACTAAATAATTACCTCAAAGAATATACCCATGGTTGTGCTAGGAGTGAATGTGCACATTTTCCACTGACAAGTGTTACCCATGCCCACTTCTTGGTCGGACACGCACGGGCCCTTCACGTTTAGTGATACGCACGAACCGATCGCGCCAGAGACTATAACAATACTTTCATCAATTCCACAATATATATGGTATAGCGCCCCCACGTGGATTCAGTGGAGTTATTATTTTGTATATAAACAATTGTGAAATGACTGTTTCAGAAGAGTTAATAATTTAATTAGCAATAGTATACATTATAGTATATTATTGCCATTAAATTTATTTTAATTTTGTTTTTATAGGTGTACCAGAAACTGAGGGAAAAAAAAGCGAAAGAAAAAGATCTCGATTTTCATATGCCAATATAAATTGCCTACTGTTTACAACAGTCAAGTCAAAGTGTAAATTGTTGTAAATATTTATGAAAATAATTATTGATTTTGTGAAATTGCCCAAAAACCCATTGATATCACAAGCTAGAAATATTGTTTTTAATGTTTATAGCAATATATGTGAAAAGAAGCTGAAGATTGATGATTTTTTTTATTTTAAAGTATATGTTTAATGACAAGTCTTGATACTTAATTTTTTTTAATTTGTAAATATTTGTTGATGTGTTGACTACTACAATAAAACAAATTATTAATGAAGGAGGAGATATGAAGACATTTTGCTACGCCGGGTAAAAATAGGAACTGTGAAAAAAAGAAAATAAACTAAAGCAGAATTTATTTAGATGTGAAAGTGTAACAGCAGTTGCAATATTAGTAGAAATTAGTAATAAAAAAATACATAAACTAAAGCTTCTTTTTTATTTGAGTTAAATTCCAAGTTACAGAAAATATTATTGGGTTTTTTCTGGCCGGGTGCTGTCCTGTCAAAATGTTAGATGTAGGTAGTGTAGAGTGTACAGGTGTATGTTTTTGCGCTATATTATGTCCCTTTCAGATGGCTAATCTATGTCAAAATTTGCCGAGATACAGAGTATCAAGAGTACATTCAATGCAGCAGTAATTGAAAATTAATTATATTATTTTTACTTAATTATATTTATATGGAAATATTACAAGTATCAAGACGTCTTTATCCTTTTTCCCATATGTTGCCTTCTACAAATTAAAATTTCCCAAAATGCCATCAGGTTCTGGTACACCAATACTAATTATTGGCTACATTGATTTGTTTACTTACAAAAAAAAATAATTGTTTATCATTATAAATTAAGTAAAATGCTCTTCTTGAATCACTTGAGGACTAATATTTATTTTTTTTGTGGTTAGACATCTCTAGCGTCTAGCTACATATAAATGATAAAATGATGTATGACATGTTTCCAAATACTGTTTGCTAAATCTCATTATTTGAATGTTTCTTTAAAATAACTATTTATTTACACACTATATTGTGACAACAAGTATTGTTAATATAAATTTGATTATGATCCTAGTTGGTTGAAATAAATAAATTATTATTATTAACAAACCAACCAAATCAGAAGGAGTTTAAATAGTAACACTTATCAAAGACAATATATTTCATAAAAACAATGTTCAGATTCCTAAACTTAAAATTTGTATTTTGATATTATACTCACTTTTCAACTCACGAGAACATTTCACTTCTAATGTTCCATTAAATGCCATCTTATAGTCTCCACTCTGGTCTTTAGCAAATACTCTTTGGAATGTTTGCTTGAACAAAGAAGAATTGAATGAATCGCCCATGACCATGTGTCCACTACAATGAATAACAATTTCATATATCAATTTAACACACAGTTGTAGATACTAAGTGATACGACTTCCAAGTCTTCCAAGACTAAAGCACGCTTACCCTGTTGAGTTACAGCATTGCTTCATTTCTAATAGACCGGTTTGATCCAAAGCACAGGAATAAATATCTATGCAGTGTCCATTAGTGGCCGATCTCAAAGACAGGCTCTCATAGTGCTTTATAGCCTTCTTCATGTATTTGGCATTATCCTTATGAATATCATGATGAGAACGGATTGGCTGTTTCAGCTCATCGTTGACCACTTGACCGGGGCCTTGAGAGCATGGTCCCCCAAGGAAAAGCATTATTCTTGCTCCAGTATTAGGGTATGTGACTTCTAACAGACCCACAGCTAAAGAAAGTGCTACTCCGCTACTTCTCAGAGGCCTTTTTCCTACTCCAAGGGGCCATGGATCACGACCAAGTTCACCAAGTAAATCAGTCAAGGCCATGTCACACTGTTTAACAGGCTGAAGGAAACGGTGAGCTGGTGACTGTGTAGCAGGTGCCCCAGGTCGTTGCTGAGGATTAGAAGCATTTACACGACCTATAGCCAGCTGTTCTTGTATCTGTTTAGCTGATAAATCCTTAGTTCCCTTGAAGACATAACATTTTGAAATTCCTTCTGTACCTGTATCAAATAAATATTCAAAATCAGCAGCAAATTAAAAAAAAAGAATACATATGATATGATAAAGAGGAATCTGTGTCAGTTAACAAATAAATATTTGTCTTTTAGTTTATAATATCAATCAATTGTAGAAAGCAGAATAAGGAAACAAGAAATGATAATGCTTTATTGTTAAAAAATGTACCTAGGTAATTAGTGCACTGAAATTTTTAGAGCATTGTGTAGTAGTTTTGTTATTACTAGTTGTTTTTTAAATAGATAAAGTAAAAACAAACCTAATTCATGGATTTGTACCATCCTGCCAAATGTTATAAGACCAACCAATGCATTCTGAGGCATCAGACTTAAAGATGTCTGTAATGAATCTTTAAGTGCACCAAGCTCCTCTTCATCCATACAAGTGTCCACCACCAGTAGGAAAATTGGTGGCATTGTTTGGGCACGAGTGATTGTATACTCAATTGTTGAGAAATTCGGAATCAATTCAGCTGGTTGATGTTGCTCCGATATAGCCGCATATTGTGGTGGAAACTGAAAGTAATTGTAAATAGACATATTTTCAAAATTAGTATTAAAACTCCACTGTTGTGTTGCATAATATTATAATTTTATTTTCTTCCTAAAATAGTTAATAACAACTTCTTATTTATATTATAAATAAATATTTTTAATAAATAAATTAGGTACATTTCATTCAATAGAGATAAATTAGCCTAATATTTTTTTTCATATTTTCATGATGTCAGAAAGGGGCATAGAGAGTTTGCAACTCTCTTGTGAGACAAGCGAAAATGTTAGGTTGAGATTCATGTCAGTAACTATAACTGAACATGAATTATTAAAATTCTTACAAAATACATCATAAGAGACATGTCAGCATAAGCAGAGTTATTACTACATATATATTTTATAGAGTGAATGAAGGAAATATCAACTACTTAAATTGATACTACTAATGATCTACAATGCACTGTTGCTGTATGCAACAGTGCAACAACAACAGCAAGAAATACTTACAGGATTTCGCTGGAAGCAAAAGTTGCACACCCACAACTTAGCTCTATAATCCACTTGGCACATTGGATTGAGTATAGCTCTGCAAGTATTACGAGTACAGAGCACAGGTTCATACTGGATAGGTGGTAAATCTGGCCGCTCTTTCAAAGGTTGATAGAGACAAGCCAAAGGAACGACCAGCCTTGTCGCTTCAATTCTACTCGATGGCCAGACATTCCACGTGAATCGTATGCCATCTCTGTCTTCATTTTGCTGCATAAACTCCTCGTAAGTCGCCATATCGCCGTTCTAAAAAAGAAATATTGGCGAAACAATCCAAAAACATTACTTTTATGAAATAAATTATACGACACATAAAATTGTATACGCACCAGGTGGTCATGCGGCGATATTGTACAATATTTATGGACGAATAGCGAATATGTTACTATTTACTCATTCAGAAATCTTTATTTTATCACACAAATTAATTAATCCCACAATCAGGCGAAAATCGATGGAGCTGATTTGGCAAATGTCAAAACCATAGACAAGTCAGCTGTCACTTAGGCCACGTCATTTTTGAAAACGCAACATATAATAAAAAATGTATAAAGCTAGTAATTTATTATTTTTATATATTCGTAATTACTTCGTATATATGATGAATCAAAAAGATAATATAAAACCTTCTTGCATAAAATACTCTGTGTAGCCATAACCAAAGATGATACCAAAGACAATGTGATTATTACAACGTTGTCTCTGATATTTAATAAATACGTTTCATTATACGGAAGACGGATATTTTTATTTTTGATAAATGTCTATTAATAACCTTGTAATTATTGTTTTTCTAAATTAAATAAACAAATTCAAAGCTGATACATCTTACAAATGAACTTACTATTTGCAATGTACAACTGAAAATCATCTCCCAATATAACCATTAAAAATTCATTGTTTACGTGTATTTACAGCCGGTAATAAAGGAACGTTATTGAATGAAGTTTTTTTTTTATTTTTAGGACATAGTAAATTATATTTCAATTATGGACAATAATTGTAAAATAATTCGGATTTTTACATAGATTATCGGTCTTTTTGTTACTAATTGTGCATATGAAAATAATGAGATGACATTGCTTTGTTTCAAGAGCAGGAAGTTTACGCCAAAAAGTGCGACTGCGCACTGGCCAAATTAGTAGTGTGAAAGAAAATGGCGATCAGCGAAAGGCGTCCGGAGTTAACGTGATGAAAAACATTGTTCAAAGCTCAATTACATAGTGTTTTAGTTATTAATTGTGTCAGATGTAGATTAATTAAGTGTTAATGAATAGTGATTGTGTATAAAAATGGCTGCGAATATGTACAGAGTCGGCGGTAAGTTGCAATAATTGGTTATTTTTGTTGTAGCTTCGCCGGTTCACCGCCAGCAGACTAGCGGTGCTTTGCTTTGATTGTCGTACCTTCGTTAATTGCTCACGTTAATTAGTTCAATAATGTTACATCCCTCAGATTTATTTATTTTTTTAGTTTATTACGATAACAAAACGTTTTACTTGTCAAGTGATCGTGTTTTGCGGGAAAGTAACATTTATTTTACCAAATTTCGTCAAATAGGACATTAGCATTTGCATCTAGGTATCACTGTATCGGTTGCGTATCTGCGTCCGGGTGCTTAGACATGAATTACCTTTGTTATTCCGTAACGATTTTGCGTTTTCATACTGTTCTATGGAAGTTGTCATGAGATTTTAGGTTATATCCGATGTTGTCAAAACATTTTCAAGTACAATTTACGGGTAAACTGCAGCTGTGTTATAGGAAATTAATGTTTTGAACACTGGCTAGTTAGAAATGACTTTTATGTAATGATTTAATGAGTACAGTTTGTTTGGGTGCCTGTTACCAGTGCTTGGGTTCCCTAGATTAGTTGATAGCATAGTTGCGGGGGCCTCGGCCGCCTCATGTGCTGCGCTCCGCGGTCTCCGTGCTCGCCGCGTTGAATGTTAATTAGATCTTCCTTTTACACTGCTTCCTATGTTAATATTTTAGTGTCTATATATGACTATCCTTATGTTTTCAACCTTTAATGGCTAAAAAAATATTCAGTCTTAAATCCAGTTACAGAGGTAGGGGTGTTATTAATTATTATGTTTTATCAAAATAAAGTGTAGGTGTATCATATTTAAATACTTGTAAAATTATAGTGCTCAAGTTAATTAAAATTACATTTGACCTCATAAGTTTTGTCATTCAAGCTGACCTCATAATGTCTGCATACATAATACAGTTGTAGTTTTATCTCCAACAAAGAATTTAATGGCCTACATTCACTACCTTGAGGGTTTTTGTCTACTAAGAATAGTTTTATCAATATCAATGTTACCAATAATACAATCATTTTACATGTGAAAAGTCTAATTAATGAATTTCACATAAACCTATTAATATTTATAATGCAAAATAAAATAAATTTTCAAATAGAATAAATACATCACTATTGTCCTAATTGCAACTGAATGCTGTTAAAGTATCATTAAATTGACAAAGTTCTGAACAAGTTAGAACCAAGTAGTTATATAATATATAAGCTTTATATATATATAGATATATATATAACTACTTGACTTTATATATACAAGACTAATAACATTGTTCCTATAATTTTAGGTAATAATTAATGATTTATTAAATTCTCATTATTCAAGAAAAATTGTAGAACTCACTATACGCCCTATGTCCATTTTAAAACTTGAAATGCTTATAAAATAAATATAAAAAGTCAAATTTTTAATTTACTCACATTTAATATATTTGCAAAATTGATCAAATATATCATTATCAATAATTTAAATATTTGTAAAATGAAATATTTTGGCAGCTTGGGTAGTAGCCATAAACTAACAAGTGTTTGAAAAATTCATCAGTCCTGTTAGGTCCTGGATAGGTCTGTGGTTAGAGCAGTCAACCTGTTTGCAAAAGGTCAAGGATTTGAATCCCATCACAGATTGCCAAGGACAAAGTGGATTTTTAAACTTTTTTTATTAAGAATATTAACCACATTTTTTTTACCTGTCTCAGACAATGAACTTGTTATATTGACAAAATTAATTCATTGTTTTTTTTTTATACAAATTTTTGAATAGATTAACTGCCCACCCACATTTAATGAAATCTTTTTTAATTGTATGGTATATATTAATCTAACAATAAATTGGACTCACTGGTAAAGGACATTGGAAAGTGTGTATTTTATGTTATGAATTATAAGCATTTTGTCGGTCTACAAGAGTTGTTTGCAAAATTGAAATTATATCCTCTGATAATCTCAAAACAACAGTGTGAAAATCATGAATAAAAATAAAACATTCCTAGATATATATTTAGTGAAGATGAATTAGTTGCTAGTTAAGCCTAATATGGATCATATTTGCATAAATCAAATATGAATCTGATACAGAAATTCTGTAGCTTACTCTAGTTTGTTTTATTTGTTCTCAGTATATAAGATCATGACAAATTTTGTAGTCCAATGTTAGGCCTAATTTTAAATTATAAGATATTTTAAATTATAGATATAATATCTAATTAACATCGCATCTTGAAAAATTTCTCTAATAATAATTTTTTCTATCAATATCAGCTCATTTATCATAATTGACTGACCCTTATTTTTGATATAGAGAATTTAATCTGATATGCCATATCTTGAAGTAAAATGTTCTTGCCAAAAGGGTTGCTCCCGGCTGTAGTTGCCAACCCCCAGAACATTTGTTTGGTGGGTTATGGGCCATTCCCTTATTTCAATTTCATCCATATAAAAATTTACAATATCATCAAATATAAAAAGACATGTGCCATAATATGACTCAAAAGCTACAAAAATGTTGATAATTGTATCTATTTAATTAAAATTGCATAAATTTTAGTACATGTCACCTAAGTGATGGGCGAAAGAACAAAGTAATTTATAAAACTTTTCATTACCAACACATAACATATATCACCAAGCATGATCTGGATAATAAAATGTAACTAATATAACTTTTACATAGTGTTATTTCAACATGATCATACAAATATTTTACAAAACGTAAGTAGGTATATTGCTTAATTGTAGTCTTTAAATGTTGCCATATATTTACATGGCCTTCAGTTCTGTGAAAGTAAGAGTTCACTGACCTGTTAAGTATCAAGCGAGTGCTAGTTTAAATTATCATATCATTTTATGCAATAGTTTAGAAGAACATGACAAGGTTATGTTCATTGTTATGTGAATATTATATTGAACAATATAATAAGTTCTCTATATAAATATATAACAATAATTGGTTTCATCATAATGTATATTCATTGGTCACTAGGATTACATCTCTTTGATAAGATGATGTTATCAGTTGCGAAATATTTTTAGAAAGGTTTATAATGTAGTATTGCTTTATCTTTTATATAATATACTAATTTATTCACCAATTACAAAATCTGACAGATTCCTTATCTACTTGAAATACTTAGAAATCACATACTACCTACTCATAACTGTTAAATCGTTAGTCTAGTTAAGTATTATGCTCTTGAAAACCAAAATTCGAGATTTGGTGACAACAGACAAGAAATGCTAGTCTTGCGACGCTATTCTATCTTGGTCTGCCCAACGCTTGGTTAAATTTTCAAAGGAGACATTTTAGGATATTAGCTACTATTTATTACCTACACACGTCACAATACAATCGTTATCCTCAATCTCCCGGCAACCAAAGCCCACGTCTGGACTGACACGGAAGGTTGTCACTGCATCAGTTACATATGAGTGGTAGCCGTAATAAGACTTTTCACATTTGTAACAACTTGGTAGTTGTTGCCATTTCAGTCGGTCAGTATACGGAATAAGTGCCGAAATATAGATATTTTTGTATTATATGTAAATAACATTTCTTTTTATACCAAAATGTAATTGGAGTAGTGTCTCACAACCCTATTTCACGTCACGTTAAAATATAATTGACAGTTATGATTGTTTTAAAATGGACAGAGACATGCTGATCCTGTGTCAGCTGGCTTAATACATTTTACTACACTGTATACACCATAAGTATTAATTTTTCACCATAAATCTACCCGAATGAACCGACACGTTCAACGAATTTATAATGCAGCTCGGACGATTTAAACTTTAAAAGTTACAAATAAAGTAATACATAATATGCTAAACCTCTGTTCTTGAATTGTTAACCCTACAGTGCACGATTTTTTTTATTTGAACAGAAAAATTATATGAACTTTTAAATGTTACCTATGTTTATAGAAAAATAATAAAAAAAAACTATTTTCAATATTTTCGGATTTTTTTGAATATTTCAGTATGTACCAGATATGTCACAAAATATGTTTAGGGTGTATAAATATTTATATGTATATAACTTACTCTTAGCAAGAATAAAATAAAACAGCAATATTAATTATGTTATATTTTAGTTAAAAATTAAACTATAATTTTGGTAAAAATTTAGTAAGCATAGACACTATAATATATTAGAAAATAGGAAGAAATTGAGATCAGTAATCATTACGTGTAGTCTTTTCCTCTTGAATTAAATTTTACTCTTTATTTATGAAATTTACATATGAAATGATATAAAACAATTTTTATCTTTATTTGGGCACAGCGCCACCTTACATTTTTCGCAGTTCACAAATGATTTCCCCTTACAACCAGGGAATCTACGAATTGTCTCAAAATGTGTGAGTATCATACAATAAGTGGCATGCCCAATTTATGATTTCACAACAAGCGTATTTTGGACTGAGGATTTCATTCAAGCAAAAGATAAATACCCAGGTACTTTTTCAGATCATTTTGAGTGACAACAAATGGTTTCGATGTATCTTTCTGAATACTATATTTTGTAGACTCCTCGACGATATGTTTTAGTAAATTCTCATCAAAAAATACGTAAAATATTGTAAAGGCGTATCAAAACTCAAAAAAGGTTCATCTAACTTGTCCTCAACTATGAATGGTGGAGGTGGTGACTGTCTTTCGCCAGATGTGTCTACTTTTTTAGTAGTGTTCAAAGTAAGTTGACAAGAAGGTTGACCTGAAGATGTACTTGCTCTCAGACACTCCACTGGCGATCTAATTGAATCTGCTGCTGAAGTTGATGCATTGACATTACCAGAAACTGGTTACTGTAATGTTCAATGTGTTACTCGCCTGTGACAAAGATTTATTGAGGGTTTGGTCAATGTAGTTATACTCAAGTAATTACAGCGTTTTTTCCATTTAATTCATGACTCAATCTGATAATCTTATAAAATCATCATCACTATCTTCATCAGATATCTCTAGTTCACCTTCACTGCCCGATGACATATGT